GCATTTGAAAAAAATGTGTATTTAGCTGCTTTGGGATGAAGGACTTTGTATATATCAGCTAAGTTCATTTTATTCTTAGCATTGTTCAAAGCCACATCTTTGCTGATATTTTGTTTGGAAGATATGTCCATTTTTGACAGTGGGGTGTCAAAATTTCCAACTATAATTGTGTTGCTGTCAAAAGCTCTTGAATTCCTCTAAGATTTTCTTTATATATTTGGGTGCTCCTATGTTGGGTGCATATATATTTACAATGTTTATGTCTTCTTTGTGGATTCTTCCCTTGAGTATTATGAAGTGACTTTCTGGGTGTCTTTTTATGGGTCTTTTTTTAAAGATTATTTTATCTGATATGAGTATTGCTACCCCAGCTTTTTTTCCCTGGTCGTTTGCTTGGAAAAATGTTTCTAATCCTTCACTTTTAGTCGTGTAGGTGTTTTGTCTCAAGGTGGGTCTCTTATAGGCAGCATATGTGTGGGTCATGCTTTCTTATCCATTGAGCTACTCTGTGTCTTTTGATTGGAGCATTTAATTTATTTACATTTAAGATTATTATTGTTAGGTACTTACTTATTCATTGCCATTTTTGTACTTATGTTCCTCTCTGGATCTCTGTTTTCCTTCCTTAAAGCAGTCCTTTTAGCATCTCTTGCAGAACTGGTTTAGTGGAGGCATATTCTTTTAGACTTCTTTTGTCTTGGAAACTCTTTATTTGGCCTTCTTTCTTGATTGAGAGCCTTGCTGGGTAAAGTAGCCTTGGTTGCATGCCTCTGATTCTCATTACTTGGAATATTTCTTGCCATTCTCTTCTTGCTTGGAGTGTTTCCAATGAGAAGTCAGTAGCTAACCTTATTGGGGATCCCTTGTATGTTACTTCCTGTTTGTCCCTTGCTGCCTTTAAGATTCTCTCTTTGTCTTGAAATTTTGCCATTTTAATGATGATATGTCTTGAAGTGGGCCTCTTTGGGTTCTTCTTGATTGAGACTCTCTGTGATTCCTGTATTTTTGTGACTTTTTCTCTCAACAAATGAGACAAGTTTTCCCTTTACTTTTTTCAAATAGGTTTTCTATCCCTTTTTCTTCTCCTTTTGGTCCCCCTATTATTTGGATATTATTATGTTTCATATTGTCTTGCATTTATCTTAATCCCACTTCATTTTTCTGAGCTTCTTTTTCTTTTCTTGCTCTTTCTGTGATTTTTCACGTACTTTGTCTTCCAGCTCACTGTTCTGATCTTCTGCTTCATTGATTCTGCTTTTGATTCCATCTACTTTTTTGTTCTGTTCGGAAATTTTGTTCTTCATTTCCTCTTGTCCCTTGCTGATAGTTTCTATTTTCTCTTTCATTTTTATGTAGTTGCGGTGAGTTCATTGTAACTCCCCTGTAGTTTCTGGTAGCTCGTTGTGAGCTCCTTTGAACTTCCTGATAACCAGTGCTTTGAATTCAATATCTGATAGTTGTCTTGTGTCTATTTCATCTAGCATTTTTTTCTGAGGCTTCCTCCTTTTCTTTCATTTGGGGATTGTTTCTTTGTCTTCCCATTGTTTGTGAGACCCTTCTTGTTAGCCTCAGCTTCTTAGATTGATCTGTTCTGACTTCCTGGGTTTATGGTGTGAACTTCTGTGGTAGAATACCTGTGAAATTCAGTGGTGCAGTCTCCTACAGTTATCCTCGTGTTCTCCGCTTCTGCCTCCTCCTTATTTTTGTGTTCAGTTGGAGTTGGAGGCAAAATGGTTAATGACAGTGGGAGTGTATTTTATGATATTAAAGTACAGCCAGTAGAGCAGAGATATAAGATCATTGGGCTATATATCGTGTTAAACGCAATCTTCAACACAACTTGCCACTTTTAAGAGAAGATGGACAAAAGATAAGTTTCTTATTGGAGAGAGAAGGCTTGTGAGTTGGATCTAGAAAGTAATGAGGTTGCAGACAGTCAGATTCTCAGGTAAGGTGAGAGTAATTGATAGTAAATAGGTGTAGTGTGTGAGAAAATAGAGTTAATCACTCCAGAAATAGAATTCAGGAAACTGTGAAGTGGACTAAGATCTGGGAGATGTGTTGTGAAGTATTTACAGGTGTATAGAACATATATTATTTACAATAATATTAGAGCAACAATCATATGACAGACTCTATGTGATCTAGATAACATGAATAAGGGGGTATAGAACTTTGGGTAGTGTGATAAACAAAATCAAGTGGCATGAAGTGTAGAAAATTGGCAATACACTATGGAGTAGAGAACAGGGGAAACCTGTCAAATGATACAATATAACCAGCCAAGGCAAAGAAGTGTGTACAGAAAGAGGAGGAATACAAAGATAATACTAAACTATAAAAGAATAGAGAATAATGAAAAAAATAGCAATAATGCAACTATGCAGCAACTTGTGGCTTCTCTGCTATAGCAAAGTGAAATTTGTGTCTCTGTCTCTACTTTTGGGATGCTCCTTCTTTGGGTCCAACTCAGTCTTTTTGCGGTTCCAAGTTGTTTGTGTTGCTTGTGGGTAAAAGAAAAGAGAAAAAGGCAGGAGAAGGGAGGAAAAAATGGTAAATTTGGAAAGAAAGAAAGAAGGAATAAAACAGAAAAGAAGAAAAGAGAGGAAAAAGGTATTGAAAGATAAAACAATAAGAAAATTAAAAATATAAAAGATTACTTAAAATAAACATTTCTTGTTGGTTTCAAACTGGCCAAATCAGTTTTTCTGGCTGCAGCAGGCTGAGGGGCGATTGGTGTGGGTTTTCTGCAAGCACTCTCCCAAGTGCCAACCCAGCACCTCTCTCCAGCCCCTCACAAAGGGTATCTAGGTCTTCCTCATTGCATTCTTTTCCCGGGGGTTATCACTGTGGGCTGGGTTGTGGGGTGCACATGTGTGTACGTGCTGGCCAGGCTGCCTGGGTCCAGTGGGTTTGGGCATAGACTCGACCCAGTTCTGTGAGGGAACTGCCGGCCCTCCGCCAAAACTTCGATTTGCTGCCAGGCTGGGTGGGGAGCAGGCTGAGCAGGTGTCACAGAAGAATCCTTCTGTTTACTTTCCAAAAACTTTCTCCTTTAGAAAACCTGCCTTTCAGCAGAGCTTAAGCTTCCAGCCAGACCCATGATTATCAGAGTCAGAGCCCCACACTGCACCTCTCAATTCTCCTGGGCTGGCAACCACAGAGTCCGCGGTTGATCTTGGCCCTTTGTCCTTAGTATCCTGTCTACAAACTCTAGCAAACAAGTCTCTTTTGGCCCCCTACCTTGCTTGGCCAAGGAGGGAGGGAGCTGATAACCCAGCTCTCTTCCAAGGACCTTTCGGCAGGCTCAGGGCTCCAAGAGACTTTGTGGAAGACGCACCGGGAGCCGGGCCTCAGCACTGGGCACTGGCTGAGGTGCACCGGGTGCTTTGCTCTGGGCACTGGGCTCCAGGCTGTGCACCTGCTGAAGCTACTGCTACTCCTATCTTTGCTCCAGTTCCTGAGACTCTACTGTACTGCAGCCATCTCCGTACCATCAGGCTTTTCTGTGACCATTATGATTCTGGTCCCTTATTTTCATATATGCTGGGGAACTGTTGGCTGTTTGCACTGTTACTCTGTAGATCGGCCAGGATTTTCTCCCATGTGTAGAGGGAAGTGGAATCTACTCCATATTACAGTGTCGCCATCTTGGAAGCCAAGTTGAACTCAATTTTTAAAAAGAGTTTATTTATTCAGTTTCAGAAAAGGGGGAAGAGAGAAAGAAAGAAAGGGAGAGAAACATCAATATGTTGTTGCCTATGGCACTCTCGCAACCAGGGACCTAGCCTGCAACCCAGGCATGTGCCCTGACTGGGAATCAAACCTGCAACCCCTTTGTTCACAAGCCAGCACTAAATCCACTGAGTCACACCAGCCAGGGCCAATTTTTAATTTATTTGTATATAGAAACTAAGCTGATTGTTGTAGTCCAGGGTATTATTTTACATAGAGATACCATTATTATTTTATACATTTACACTATTAATGCATAAGAACAAATAAAATAATTAAAAGCATTTATATAGATATGGAACTAGCACCACCCATGTATAATGTGCATCCTTTTTTACCCTCAGAAATTTGGACAAAAACTGTTCATTATACACAGCAAGATATGGTAGTTTCAGAATTTTTCAGTCCCACAACTTGTTATAAGAAATTTCTGACCCTGACACTTTCACAACATTGTGATGGTTGAGAAAATGTTTCTCAAGTTTCTTTCTTTCATAAATAGCAGTAGGATTTTGGGTTATTTCCACACATCACCTGGGCCCTTGCTGAGCTTTGAGAAGGGACTGAGATCATGAGAGGCCTTGAGGGTGGAGCCTCTTGAGCTTTAAGGTTGAAAATTTGCTGCTGTGCTGAGGGCCAGAGGCTGAGGTCTCCTTGAATGGGACAAGATTTCCATGCCCACAGCCCACATTCAAAGCACTTGTGCTCTGTCACTGTCCCACACACCCTCTGACCTTGTACATGTGCATCCCATGTTTCTGATGTCCACAATACATAGCGCTTTAACACTCAGCTTCTCTTGGGATTCCACCCTCCACTGGAGTTGGGTGTAAATTCCTTCTACTCTTATCAGCACTTGGTGGTTGAAGGAAAATGTAAACTCATCCTTTCCCAGAACATTCATGGGTGTTGGATGGAGGGTGGGTCTCCTGAGGCACCAGGAACACCTCTCACTGCAATGACCCCTGGTCAACTTCAGCATCAACTGCAAGGTGAACACATTCAGATTCACATCTGGACAAGCCTCTCCACATCTGGCGACTGTAGATCTACCTGCAGGGTCAGGTTGGGGAGGGTACACAGGATGACTTCTCAGCCATCACAGAACTCCCCACAGCCTGTGGAGACCGAGTTCCCCTCCATGCCTGACCACAGCTCTGTCACCCACGGCTTCCTTTTAGGGTGTCATTGGGTCCACCCCACAGCTGGGCACTTCCTTCCCTGACACAGGGGCCTGGACCTGTTCTGCCCTGGGAGAAGCAAACATGCTGCTCCTACTGCTGCTGCCTCTGCTGTGGAGAGGTGAGAGGGCCTGAGAAGAGATGTGGGGATGTGTTGGAGCCAATGCTGAGTGTCTGTGTCCCCCCAGGTTCCCTGCAGCAGCAGAGAGGTTATGGTATCCAACTGTAGGAATCTGTAAGCCTGCAGGAGGGTGGATGCACCAATGTGCCCTGCTCCTTTCCCTCCTCTTGGATATCGTCATATCCCTCTACCAAAATCTACATCCACTGGTACCACAGTGGGCACCACTTACATAGCTTTGAAGTTGTGGCTACAAATGACCTAAATACACCAGTGAAAATGGAGATGCAATGCTGATTCTTCCTCATGAATCCCAGAGCCAACAACTGTTCCCTGAGCATCAGAGATGCCAGTAAGAGTGATGCAGGAAACTATGTCTTACAAGGGCAGAGACAATATACTCACCGTAATGATTACCAAGATAAGAAGCTGACTTTGCAAGTGACAGGTATGGCAGGGGCCCAGGAGAGGATGGTGAGACATGGGACCCGGGTTAGAACTGAAACTGGCTCTTGGGACACTACTAAATCTAAGAGACACAGCACCAGGGATGAACTCAGGCCCTCAGCCATGGGTCCCAGGTGGGGTCACATTCTGTATCCCCAATGCAGCCTCAGGTCCCAGGCACCTCCCTCTCTCCTTCTCAGACCTGACACAGAAACCTGACATCCACATTTGGGGGCCTCTGGAGTCTGGCCGCCCCACACAACTGAGCTGCAGCCTGCCAGGTTCCTGTGAAGAGGGAAGTCCTCTCATCTTCTCATGGGTGGGAAATGCTCTTGGCACTCTGAATCCCAAGACCCTTCGCTCCTCCATGCTCACCTTCACCCCAAAGCCCAGGGACCACGGCACCACAGCCACCTGTCTGGTGACACTTGCAGGACCCAAGGTGACCACACAGAAAACCATTCAGCTCAATGTCTCCTGTGAGTGTTGGAGGGACAGCTGGCGTCCTGGGGGCAGAGGGGCTGGCAAACCTGATTGTGTCTTTGTGTGTAGTGTGTGTGTGTGTGTATGTGTGTGTGTGTGTGTGTGTGTGTGTGTGTGCAGTAGGCTGAGCTAAAAGGAGGGAACTCATTTATGCACCTGAGTGTAGAACGGAGTGGGCCCGAACACAGCTATGCCACCATTTTGGTTCCCACTGCTTCTCCTTGAGTTGGGATGACTCCCATCCACTCCTCCTCTTTGAAACAGGGCCCTGTCTTTCTGTCCCAGATGCCTCACAGAACCTCACCATCGGCGTGTCCTTCAGAAATGTCACAGGTAGGAAAGAACCTCCTTTTGTGGGGTTGGGACCTGCCCCTGGCTGAGGGGGAAGCTGAGGGGGAATCAGAGTATGAATGGGATCAGATATGGGAGAGACAAGGAGGAAATTCACCACCCTCTGGCCCTCACCTCTTGTGGGTGGGTACATTCTTCTGTTTTCTCTCTCTCTCCCTCTCTCCCCACCATCTTTCTGCCTCTGTCTGCATCTCTCTCCACTAGCCCTTAAGATTCTACAAACCACATCCCTTCCAATCCTGGAGGGTGAGGCTCTGCATCTGCTCTGTGTGGCTGACAGCAACCCCCCTGCAGCACTGAGCTGGTTTCGGGGGCCCCTAGCCCTGAACACCACCCCCATCTCCAATACCCTGATCCTGGAGCTGCCTTGAGTGGGGACTGGGGAAGAAGGACAGTTGACCTGCCACACTTGGCACCCGCTGGGCTCCCAAAGTATCTCTCTCAGCCTATCAGTGGTCTGTGAGTGTGGGGACTCTTGTGGGCAGGTCACCTGGGTTTTTGGAGGATGGAAGAAACACTGACACTTCTTGCTCTCCACGGTCCCCCCGCAACTGCTGGGACCCTCCTGCTCCTGGGAGTATGAGAGTCTGAACTGCAGCTGCTCCTCCCGTGCCAAGCTGGCCCCCTACCTGCACTGGCCGCTTGGGGAGGCACTGCTGGAGGGGAACCTCAGCAACACCTCCTACAAGGTCACCTCCAGCTGCGCTGGGCCCTGGGCCAACAACTCCCTGAGCCTCCCAGCGGGACTCATCGCTGGCCTCAGACTCAGCTGTGAGGCAGAGAATGTCCACGGGGACCAGAGTGCCAGTGTTCTGCTGCTGCCAGGTGAGGGTCTGCTGGAGGGAGAGGTTTATGCAGACCGGAATGGATCAAAGAGAGGATGGAGGTGGTAAGAGGGGCTGTGGCCAGCAAGGGCATTATTTACTAGGACAGGACCCTCCATCTTCTGTCTGAACACTCTACAGGTAGAGCAGGTTCTGCAAAGACATGGGGAGACAAGACACAAAGTACTGCCACAGTGTGGGCTCACACCCCTCTTCTCTGCAGGGCAGTCAGCATCGGCTTCCAGAGAGTTTGCTGCTGCTCTTGGAGGTGCTGGTGCTATGGTCCTCCTGTCCCTGTGCTTGTGTCTCATCCTCTTTGCATGTAAGCCTGTGTCCCGGGGAGGGAGTTGTGTCATGGAGAGTACAGAGAGGGGCCCCTGAATCCCAGAAAGGTGGAGTTGAGTACATATGGAGAGGTCTCTTTAAATATTTTATTTTAAAGGATTTTATTTTTTGGTTTTTAGAGAGAGCAGAAGGGAAGGCAAAAGTGAGGGAGAAAAATATTAATGTGTGATTGCCTCTCATGTGGCCTCCCCTGGGGACACCTGACCCACAACCCTGACACGTGCCTTGACTAGGTATCAAACTGGCCACCCTTTGGTTTGCAGCCCGAGCTCAGTCCACTGAGCTACACCAGCCAGGGCAGAGGGGTATTTTTTCAGGGGGATTGGGTAGCAGTTTTATTGAGATAAAATTCTTATATATTCATTTTATTTTTAAAAACATATTATTTACTTATTTTTTAGACTTAGAAGGGAGGGAGAGAAACATCAATGTTTGGCTGCCTCTCATGCACCTCCTACTGGGGACCTGGCAGCAATTCAGGCATGTGCCCTGACTGAGAATCAAACTGGTGACCCTTTGGTTGACTGACCAGTGCTCAATCCACTGAGCCACACCAGTCAGGGCACATTTTTATATATTTAAAGTGTACAATTAAGTGACTTTTTGTCCAGTCACAGAGTTGTGCTCACGTCACCATAATCAATTTTAAATTTTTTTAATTAGCACAAGATGAATGAAAAAATCCCTTATTTGTCATTTTTTGCCACCATCCTTGCCCCAGCCCGAGATAGACACTAATCTATTTCCTGTGTCTCTATATCTGCCCATTCTGGACATTTCATATAAATGGAATTCTACAACGCCTGATCCCTTTTGGCTCTTTTCTGCATAACTATATTTTCAAGGTTCATGTGTCATTTTTCTAAATTCTTTTTTACTTCAAATAATATTCCATGGCATGGATGCTGCACTTTTTACTTGTCTCCTCATTCACTGATAGACAGTACAGTAGTTTCTACTTTGGGGCTGTCAGGAATAACACTATTGTGATTGCTTATGTTGATGTTTCTGCCTGTGTAGACATTTCTCTCTGTGTAGGGGCCTATCAAGATGTAAGTTTAGTCTTGGCCAAACACCTGGTCGTCCAGAGGATGGAGCACTCACTTTCATGTCAGAAGGTCTCTGAGTTAGGTTCTGGGATCTGGATGCCTCAGTGGTCTTCTCAGGAAGTGGAAGCAGCCTGTCCACCTGCGCCTGAGCCATTGTGGCTCCTGACTTCTTCCCTTAGAGTAAAGTTCTGCAGGAAGCAAACAGACAGGAGACAAAAGGTCACAAATGATGAAGACCATGGCATGGGTATAGTTACCTGGGTGAGTGATGTATCACCTCATGGAGTGTATGGGGAGGGGCTGGGCATGTCCATTCAGTGAGTGTGAGCTGAGCTGCTCAGAATTTCCCCAAACCGGCTCCTCTGTGGTCAACTAGACAGATGGCTGGGAGTTGACTTCCCCTTTCTTACACAGATCCCAGGGTCAGCCTCCTGCCCCAGTGCTGCTGAACACTGAGTTTACCTCACCTCTTTTCCAGTATAGCCTGCAGAACTGTCTCTCCAAAACTATTACTTTCTACCCATTCTGGGCATGTTTCTTCAACTGTCCTCATCTCAGTTCTTCTATCTGTAAATGGAAATAGTAAGAGTATCATTTATACTTAGTTTCTGTGAGGACGAAATGTGATTAGTAAGCTCTCAATGTGGTCTAATCAACTGTAGTATTACAAAGTTTTAAAGGAATGAGCAAATAGTTGAGTTCATGTGGAGTGTTTGTGGAATAAGAGGAGGAATAAAAACTGTTCTATCATCCCAACTTCCCCTTGAGACCATGTCTGATTTATTCTTCTCTGACTTTTCTCTCCCTTTTCTTCAGGGTTCCCAGCAAAATTCACAGCCAGACAGGCACCCAGACCAAGTGTTGCCCATGGGGGATGCTTCTCCATCAGGAGAGGAGCAGGATACCCAGTACGCCAATCTCACCTTTCATGGGAGGAAGCTGTGTGAGGCTCAGGACAAGGAGGCCACCAGCATCTGTGTGTACTCAGAGATCAAGAAGACAAGCCAGTGAGGACTTGCTCAGAGCTTGGTCCTGGCCTGAGATGTCAAAGCCTCTGTGAGGGAAAGAAGTCAGGGACTAATTGATGAAACGTGAGGAGACCTCATGCAACATTAACATTAACCACTGTAAGAGCATCTGCAGGCAGAGCAGAAAGAAGAAGGGTGATGAGAATGGAGAGACATGGGCTCAAGTACAGACTTCAGCACTTCCTAAGGCATTGTCTTCAAGTGATTTACTTCATTTCTCTGTCCTCACTTTCCCATTCTGTACAGCAGAGACCATGCATCCTAGTCAAAGGTGGCTGTGAGCATTAAGAAAATTACAAGCAGCAGAGGTCCAGGGCTTGCCTGCCTCCTTTTTCTGAATAGAAAAAAAAATCTGCTCAAAAAATTTCTTGAGTGGCAAGTTCTTCTGAAGCCAAGGGTGTCCAGCCATAGAAAACAGGGCAGCAACTTGTTGCTCTCATTTTCCATCCCAGAACTCATCGAAGCCTGTACAGGGAAAGACATCCCTGTCCACTTTGTGTTCAGTTCATAATGGTTCATGATGACGTATCTCAGTTTCTCTGGGTTCATTTTGCCTCATTTGTTCCTGTCCATTCTCCAGCACCTTCTGAGCACCATTTTCTTCCCCATCCCACATACAGCCCAACAGAGATCTTTCCAACCACTTGTTGGCTGTAAGGAGGAGCTGACCAGGCATTGCATCCCTGAAAAGGAGTTATTTCAGGGACAAAAAAAAGGATTCAGATGCAGCCAGTGCAGCCACAGTGAGCCACAGGCCCAATCTTTGCAAGAAAGCAGATGTCAGGGAGCCCTTTTCACAGAGCAAAAGAATAAGGTCAGGGGAAGGGACTGTTACCAAACTAGAGCTCTGCTGTGAACATACAATGTTTCCAGAAGGGCTGCCAGCACCATGTAGGGAGTTACAGCGCCTCCCACAGTCCTCCTGATTTATGGCTGGGTTTGTCCTCCCAGAGGACACGCCAGAGAGCTGACCCTACCTCTGTCTCACACAAACCCCTACCTGACTCCCTGCTCTTAATTGTTACATCCCAGGTCTCTTCCCCTGGCATTTTCCTCCTCACCCACCTTCTCTCCATGGCCTTTGTCCATGAAATCTTCTATGGTGGTTTCTACAAAAGTTTAAGCAATTTGAGATTCCCTCCTGGAGGCCACACCTCCTTGCTTTCATCTGGCGCACCCCATTCTGTCCTTGAAACTGTATTCTTGGACAGACTTAGGTTAAAAGTATGGAATGAAGAAAGAACTCATAGTCTCCCTCCTCTATATAGTTTATTTAATTTAATTTTTTAAAAACAAAGTTCTAAAACAAAACAACCAGAGTCATGGGTGGTACCATATTAGGTGCCTAACAATAAGCTCTTTGATTGTGAAGTCTCTAGAGTTTGTGGGTGAGTCTTAACAGTGGGTGAGATGTTTCCAGATCTCCAGTGGATTTCTGAAACTGCAGACTATGCCGAGTCCTATATATATTATGACTTTTCCTATGACACACCTATGATGAAATTTAATAGGTAAATTAGCACAAAAAGATATTAACAATAACTAATAGTAAAGCAGAAGAATTATAACAATATACTATGATAAAGGTTAAGACCATGAAATGTGGTCTCTCCCTCTCTTGAAATATCTTCTATTGCCCAGGCTGGTGTGTCTCAGTGGATGGAGTGCCAGCCTGTGAACCAAAGGGTTTCTGGTTCAATTCCTTGTCAGGGCACATGCTTGGGTTGTGGGTCAGGTCCCCAATGAGGAGTGTGTGAGAGGCAACCACAAATTCATGCTTCCCTCTCTTTTTCTCTCTTCTTTCCTCTCTAAAAATAAATATGTAAAAACTTATAAAAATATCTTGTATTAATGTACTAACCCTTCTTCCTAGAGGAGACCATCCCATGTGGCATGGGGAATGTAGCCCAGCCCTCAGTCAGAAAGGCCAGTGGGGAGCAAGGTCTGGCACACAGGACCCATGCCCATGGGATAGGTTCTCCCTTGGGGAGTCAGGTCTGCATTGTACCTAGGCTGCTTTGAGGCTTGCTTTTGCTAGAACAACCTCACCCTAAATTGAGCCAGGAAAGGCTTATTGCATATCTTTAAAGTAACTTCCTAAAATCTGTGCTAAACCTCCCAAGTATGAAGTGCAACCAGTTCAACCACTTTTTTCTTTACATTTGCAAATATCCTTCTTCTTTGATGTAATTTGCAACATTCTCTCCTTTGTTTTCTGTAATATGTAACCACCTAAATTAAACCTGGGCATAGTAAATGAGGACCATTCTCGGTGTAATGTGCCCAGAAAAGCAATAAAAGTTTGTCCAGGCAAGGATTGAGACCCTCTCTCACTCAGAGAGTGGCCATGCTGTCCCCTTTGCTCCATAGGATTTCTTTGGTCTGTGTGAATTTGTTTATCGCAGCCACAACACCCAGACCCTCCCGACCAGGGTTCCCATCACTTCCTGGGCTGTTGGAAGGTGTCACAAGGCCTATGTGATGAGGTGTAGAAAGGTAAATGCCACAGACATTGTGACTTTGCATAAGGCTACTACAAGGGTGACTTGAACAAAAGTCATGGAGATACTGGGACAGTAGATCTGAAGACCTAATTGGGTACTAAGTGACTCACAGGTGAGCAGTATATACAGTGCAGAGATGCTGGACAAAGACATGGTTCACACTCAGGCAGGACACAGAGGAAATACAAGATTCATCGTATTATTCAGAAAATTGTGGAATTTATAACATAAGTGGTTGATTTTTGAAATCGTCCACTTAGTATTTTTGGACCATGTTTAATCACAGATAAGAGAAACCATGGAAAGCACAACTGTGGATAATAGGAGATGACTGCAATACACTTGGTTTTTTTCAAAGTTTCCTAATGGTTGTTGCTGAAGTGTGTTTTAATCAAAACAAGGACCACAAAGGCTGGTCTAGCCACAACATTGGCTGCAATGGAAAAATGACTCTGAAGTGTACACAGGTAGAATGGGTTCAGATGAGTGCCCCAGTGATACCAAACAAGCACCTGCATGTAGGTGATTCATTTCCTCAATTTTAGAAATTGAAAAAAAATAGCCTTGAGGAAAGAAGGGGACAATTACAGTTTGTAACTAGGACTTTGGTTCCCCACATCCACTACATGAACTCCAATTTCAGTATGGCAAGAAGTTGAATTGTGACTCTTGTCTTGATAATAACTGGTTAAATCATTCTGCTCAGGACTTGTGCCAAAAATAACAAAATTCGTTGGGGAAAAAGTAAATAGAAGAAATAAAATTCCTCGTTTTAAAACTTTAAAATAATTGAAAGTGAAAGAAAATGGGCACTTATTAGGCGTATTTGGGAAATGCTTGAATCCAGAAAATGAGGCACAATATTTAAGCCAAGACACCAAATCTCCCAATGGCATTTACCCACACTGATCATGTTGCTTTGGTTCTGTGGTCTTTGGGACATGAAAATGAGAGGGGCTTTGAGAGAAAGTAAATAAAAAGAAATTCTGAGGCTCCTGGAGAGGCTTTTTGTTTTATTGTTGACTTGAGACATGATACCACAGTATAACTTGTATGTTTATATAATGTAAACTATTTTAACAAGGTACCATATTATGTAATTCTTATATTTGTAAATGTATACTATTGTACTATAGTATATAAAATACAATATAAAAATTACCGTGTATTACTCAGTGTAATAATTAGTTATATATTCATTACAGTATTTATAAGACATTTCTATAATGTAAGCTATAATAAATATATAAGGTTTATGCAACATGAACTATGTATATATTTTTCGAAAACAACACATGCAAACATATTTCAAACTTCAGGTGTTTTTGTTGCAATGGTTGCTTTTTGTGGAAAAACTTCAAGGAAGAATAACATTAAACAGCGTGATGACAAATCAGAGGAATGAGAGGAAAAGCAGACATGAGCCCAGCCCACTGCCACGTCTCCTTCTGACTCCTCCTTTCCAAGAAGGACCCCGCCTTGCCATAGCCCCTGTATCCCAGGTGCCCTGCTTACCTAAAACTCAGACCTTTGTGCCTGTGGGCTGAATTCCTTGGCAGAGGGAACCCAGGTGTGCTCCAGCACCAAGGACAGAGCCAACCTTTCCTGGAGGAGCTCTCAGGTCTGGTAGGGAGGATGGTGCGACCCCTGGAGGCTCAGCCTTGACCTGCCTCTTTCAAGGTAAGGCTGGGGAATGAGGGAGATTGGCATTCTATCCTACAGAACAGAGGTGCACACAAACCCTCCTCAGTCTCCCCTTGGGCACCTCATCCTTGGGTAGAGGAGCCTTAATTTCGGAGACACAGTGCATTTCTCAGAGGTCACTGGGTTCTTTGCCTGTCAGGCCTGAATCTAGTCACCTCATCCAGAAAACCTTCTGGGTCAGACTCTTCCCATTGCTTCCTTCTTTTTCTCACAAGAGTGGGTTGCTATTTTCTCTTGCTTTTAATCCCTTCCTTGTACTGTCACAGAGCTCTACACAACAGAAAATATAACCTTTGAGTCTTTTCTGTGCTTGGCAGTATTCCTAGTCCCAATTTAGCTCAAATGAAGAATTAAAGAATCAGAAGTCTGGTAGATATGTTCTTTTTGGAACTGACAGGGCACTCAAATAAATTTTAAGTTTCACTTCATTCTACAGAAAGGGTAAACACTCAGATTGGGGAAAGAATTCTGTGACATCACTGGACCCCAGCAGGGAGAATGTTATCATGGAGGGCAGAGCAAGCCAGGCAAGGTCAGAGGAAGTGAAGGTGGGGTAAGGAGAGAGAGATTCAACATTTCCATAGATATGGGAGGCCTTTTTGGCCTGGAGGAAATGCATAGAAGTTAGAAGGTGAGAGTACAGGGTCCTGGAAACCCTGAGAATGAGCTCACAGCTGTGCATGAGTCCACTGAACTTGCAACCTCAAGCTGACAGCAGAGACCCACCAGAGGCACCCTCATCTGTGGGGCTGGAGTCAGGGCCACCCTTTTTGTG